TGGATTTATTATTAACTATATGTAATTAAAATTGTTTTATTTAATAAGAATTTTTTATTTTTTTCTATTACAGTATTATCGAGAATTCTTTAATTGAATATTATACTCGAATCTATAATTATAATTAAAGAATGAATGGATTCATCATTAATTAGATGTAATTAAAATTTTTTTATTTAATAAGAATTTTTTTATTTTTTTCTATTATAGTATTATCGAAGAATTCTTTAATTGAATATTATACTCGAATCGAAGGTTGTATTCGAATCGAAGGTTATACTCGAATCGAAGATCGTTAAGTTTAGGACTTACCTGGTTTTAATCCTGTAAGGTATGCACACAATATTTTAAAGGTAAAAGCCACATTATATATCGTTTTATGATTTATGTAATTTATGTAGGCTAATCGAAATGAATTAATCGAAAAAAATAATTCAATTAAATAAAATGATATCATGAAAATCAGGTTTTTTTTTTAGTATTCTTAAAAAAAAAATTTTTTTTAACTGATAAACTGTTGATAAAACTTGATAAGCTGATGATAAACTATTGATAATATGCAAGTATAATTTTAACTTAAGAAAGTCTTACGATTTATTGTCCGTGTACGACCAAACCTTAAACTTTGCCATTGTGAAAAAAAATTTTTTTTTCTTTTTGGATAGAATTTAAGGTCATTTTTACACGAATCCCGTTTCTTTGCAGAAAGATCCTGTTCATCAAGTGATTATGATTCGTCATTTTCTGATGAAAATTTCTGGTACGTACATACATCTCATTCCAGAAAAAAAAAAATCACACGTTATTACGTATGTACATGCTTGCGAGCATATGTTAATTTGGTTAGCAAGCGAAAAAAAAATTTTCAAGATCAATAAGGAAAAAGTACGCCAGCTGAATTCTATGGGTAAGAATACGTATCTCTTTCAAACAAAAACACAAACGTTAACGTTAACGTTAACGTAAATGTAAACGTAAATTTAAACGTAAACGTAAATGTAAACATAAACGTAAATTTAAACGCGTGTAAAGAATTAAAGATCAAAAGAGAAACAATGACGTCTAACTTACGAACAATTGTGAGAAGCAAGAAAAAAATAGAGAATTGTTTATAAACATAAAAGATCATCGGTACTACAAATTGAATGAAAATTGAATGAGGATTGGGAATAAGTCTATTCCAATAAAAGCTTACCATTTTGTTATGGTCAATACCCAATAAAAGCTTTGTTATTTTGTTTCGGTCATGAGAGCGGTTGGAATCCGATTTCGGACAAAACATTCAAGATTCCGACAAGGTTGATGTGTTAATTGTGAGAAGGTTCTCACACAGGCCATTTCCAAGAATGACTTTGACAGCCTATTAGTTGAACATTGAACAAAAGGTTTAGATAGTTTTAGTTAAAAATACCAGTTTATAAACCAGCTTTAAGTATTAAAAGACCTTATGATAAAAAACAATCACGGTTAGTTCCGTAGTTCCATGATATTACTGAGTTCATAGTAATTTCCGTGAAGGAAAAAAAAAGGTTGATGAAGCAAAATAAACATTAATAAATGATCTAAACAAATAGTGGCAATAATAATAGAAATAATTGGTTTAGTGTAATAATATGAAACAAGTCCGCGCTTGAATTCTTTTTGAAATTAAAATGATCAGATAAGACGTATACTAATTAAGAGTGATGCATGTATTTACCTAATTAAGACTAGAAGTATTAAGAAAAAAAAAAATTAAGCAGTTAATAATAATAATGTATCGATATTGTTTTTCATCGATTATGCCGATTATACAGATAATGCTACAGATTATACAATCGATAATACGGTTTAATACGGTTTATTGTGATTTAATAATACGGTTTAATATACTTTAATATGGATTAACGTTACGTTGATATAGATTTACATAATACATTTTTTAACGTCAAACGCTAACATTAACGTTAACGTTAAACGTTAATATATTTTTAACGTTAATGATAATATATTTTTAATGTTAATGATAATATATTTTTAATGTTAATGATAATATATTTTTAACTTTAATGATAACGTTAACGTTAATGATAACGTTAACGTTAATGTGTTCTTTAACGTTAATGCGTGATAAGTTTGATAAACAATATCGAAAAGATTTTCAGACATTCAATCCTATAAAGTAGATGATTATTGTAAGATAAGTACGTAAGATACATGATTAGTAAATAGAGTAAGTGATTAATAAATAGAGTAAATGATATGCAATGTTATTACTGTATTAATAGAAACTATAAATAAGGACGAAAATCAGCTGAAATTAACAGAAATTGAAGAACAACGTAAACAATAGAGAAATGAATATCAATTGTAAATTATTTATAATATTCATAAACGAAAAGTTTTAAAAAATAAGAAAATCCAATATTCATTTATTTAAAGTCAAAAAGATAAAGAAAATCATATGATCATATGTGATGATCGAAAAATCGTAGTGTAATCGTAAAAATGTAATCGTAAAATGTCAAAGCATTGTCAACGCAGTGAGACATCAGACAAGATGTACACCCGCCAAACCCTAATTTGATCGAATGCTCATGATAAGTGATTCCATGTGTTTTGTGACAATAGGTTAAGGATGTTTGATACATGTTTGATAAGTACATACATAAGTACATACATACTGATACTTACGTACGTTACATGTACCTGTACGTATGGTATTGTATGCTATTTGATATATACGTATATGCTATATACTACATTCTGCGTATATGCTACGTATTCTACGTATATGCTATATTCTGCGTATATGCTATATTACTATTGTATAAGCTATATTACTATATTCTGTGTACGTACATGATATATTACTATTTTCTGTGTATATGCTATATACATTATACACATTATACATATCAGATATGCTACATATAATAGATATACGTAGCATATACATGTTAAATGCTAGATTTTATGGTATTGTATATCGATATGGATATTGATATGCTATGTCTGAATGATCTTAATGATTTGTACGTACCTACATTCTGTGTGTACGTACGCACATACTTATCGATATGCGTTATGCAGATGTATGTGTGCGGTCGTTTCCTAAATTATGCTATAGATTTTAGTATGGATAATTTACTATTTGAGATTAGTATCAGACAGGTTCAGATTATATATACATATATATATATAATTTTTTTTTTTTTTTTTATAGATAATTTTTTAGATTTAGATCAGTCGCGGTACAATCTTTCGACCAAAGTTTATCTTGTTCATATTTTAAATATGTTTAAATAGAACATTCGTGAAACGATGTACATGGCCATGCGAGTTCCCCTGTACATTATGCAAAAATGAAAAAATGAATAAAAAAAAAAGGAGAAAAACATAATATGATTAAAAGAGACAAGCGTTATCGTTATTGATGTAAATTATAGTAATAGATGTATTGGCTTAAACGAAACGATTTAGGAAACGATTTAAAACCAATTTAAGGAACGAATTAGCGTTTAGGAATGATTGAACGAATTAACATTGATAAAAAAATTAAAGTTAAGGATAAGGAATTAAAGTTAAGGATAATGATAATTAATTAATGATAATGATAAGTATATATACTTTTAATTCTTTTAATTAATTAAAGATAATGGTAAGTATATACTTTTAATTCTTTTAATTAAACGTAAGTACTTTTAATTAATGATTGGCGCCTAAAAATTCTTCCATAATTCCGGGCCGAATTATGTTGGTCGTGGGCCAGAATTATTATTTTAAAAACTATTTTTAAAATTTTATTTTTAATGTTTTGACTGAATTAAATGGTTAAAACGGTTAAACTATTTTTTATTAATGCATAAGATACAACACTTATAAGGTTAGACAGGATAAACGTGGTAAAGCATATTGAAAATCATCGATCACACGAATTGTTGAAAATTGTTGTCAAGAAAAAAAACGTACGTACGTACAACAATAATGATAATGAGAATAAATAATGATAATACGTATAATAAATGCAGTATATGTGTAAAGCAGGTTTATTACCTGTGCTATAAAATATATTGACCGCTATAAAATATATTGACCATGAATGTATTAAATATATTGTTAACGCCCTGAAGGAATCAGGCTCTTAAATATTTATATAAACAAATATAAATAGTTATACTTCAAAGGACTTTTCGGACTTTCCTTAAAATACAATCTCATGTAAACATTGTGGCGATGCATTCCTTGATAACTTTTAGCGATTCTTTTATCTAAATTTTTTTATCCAATAATCTATTACAAAAGAAAATCATCTGTTTTTTTTAACGTGAATCCTTATTGTACAAATTTATATCTATCATTATGCCGAGTATTTCAAACTATAAATTAAATGATATCAATCTAGTCTCTGTTATTTAAAATATTTAATTTATTTAACGTTAATACCGGTATTTATAATAATAATATGCTATATCGATATAATAGATATATAATATACTATTATAAAATATACTATATGCAATATTGATATATAATATGCTATATAATATGCTATATATATAATAGGTTGTCAGTAATACTGTACTTATCGTTACTGAGATATGACATCGTACATCGGTATAAAAAAAGATAATGGTTTTCTGTCACAATCATCCCCTTGCATTAATTCAGTTTTGTGATTACTATAATCAATGTCTACAAAAACAAATATTTATACTTCTACTTTTCGTCTTTTTTTTTCATTTTGGTCGTCTAAAATTTTTTTTTATTGAATGAACGTTAACACCTTTGGTGTTTTCTTAATAATCTTTGACTTTCTTAATTTAGTCAAAGAAACCTAAAAATACTTGTTAATTTTTATGATTTATTTCGTTACGAAAAAAAAATTATTTACTTAATTTTAAAATTTATTCTCTACTCTACTCTACTCTACTCTATTCTATTCTTAATTTCTCTTTATCTGACCTCGTATTCTCTCAAACGACGCCCATATATACTTTTTTCTAAGAAATTATACAAAGATGGTTTTATTAGTTTTAACTGAACGTATCCGCCACGCAATATACCAAGCTATACAATCCCCTGATTTTGATGACTCTGCAAAACAAAGACTTAAAAATTATCTTAAGTCTAGTGCTTGCATTCCTCTTGATCTCGTTAAAGAGGTTTCAAAATTCTTGGTTACTCGTGATGGAAAACTTGGAAAAGAAATTGGTAAGCATGACATATTTTTTTTTCGTCAATTTAATCTTTCAATCATCTTTCAATCTTTTTTTTTGCCAATTTTCCACTTTTTCCACTTAAAGAATTTCTTTAAAGCCACAACTGTTTCAAACATTGTTTCAAACATGTATGTTTTCACATTTACATAACTTACATACCATACATAACTTACATACCATTGTGTATTCATAATAATCTTGCAAATCTTTACTCAATTTACTTTATTTTCCCACCCCCACTGTTAACTTGTCCAAAGTTTAACCTAAATTTTCTTTTCAATTGTTATTGATTGTAATATTAAAACCGGGTATTTCCATTGTCCATGCATCATCATTTAACGCCATTTATCCATATTTTTGAAAAAAAATTTTTTTCTAGGTTTCTCAAGCTTTTGGCTCCACGAATTGCTCACTGGTAGTGGTGTTTACATGGAACCTCGACAAGAAAGGGTCAAGGTAATTTCTAATTCTAATTTTAATTCTACTTCCAATTCTTATCTTTCATCTATCTATCCATCCATCCATCTATTTATCTCTGTCGAATTATATCTCTGCCGTATTATTTTTTATTTGTCAATTAATTTTGTACAACATATATTATTATTGTTATTATTATTATTGTTATAGAGTCCTGAATTACTTGCCCGACTGGAAAAAATTCTTGCTGAACAAGCTAATAAAGAATATGCTCGTATGGTTGGACGTGTTGCTTCCTCTTATGATGTAGAAACTTTTAAACTCTTGGATACCGAAGAATTCCAAAGTATCCGTGGTCAACTCACTGCTATAATTAACATTACCTTCACTGTCGTTGCTGTATTTGCTGCTGTGTATCACGTTGCACAAACTATCACCGGTGACACTGGAATGGTAGGTATTCTAGGCTCCGAACGGATTATCCCGAATTACCCGAATCTGATCCGTTATAATGTATATCACTATGCATATAATAAATTTGTTGTAAACGGGTCTGTTTCAGGTCAAACGGGTCAACCCGTGTTTAAACACCCATTCTTTAGCATTGTATTGTATTATTAACCAATTATTATTAATTTATAGCGTGTATTACTTGCATTCACTGGAAGCATTATCGTTGGAGTTGCCGAAACATTTTTATATATGCGTTATCTTGCCGGTTTCGACAAAAATGACCCTAAAAAAGAACGTAAACAACGTCGAAGATCTTCAAGTCCACAAAAAATTGTTTATTATTCTACTCATCAACATCCTCATTTTCCTAAATCAAGATTGACTAAAACATCATAAGCATTGTCAGCAAAAAAATAGTATCTTATCCCTCCAAAAAAAAAAAAAAAAAAAACATTCGTAAAAAAAAAAAAAATTTTTGTACATTTTTTTTTTTTTTTTTTTATTCGTGTAGTATTTGGAGCTCTCACTAATGGTAATGTGTACAGAAAAGGGTCCATCTTGGGAGTAGAGCTCCAAGTACTGTACGACAAAAAAAAGGCATTTTGATCATGTAATATAACCTAGCAAGTAATTTTTTTTTCTTTTCCACCTTTTCCATCTTCTTCTCTTCCATCTTTTTTCCATCTTTTTTTTTTTTATTAATGCAAAAAAAAAATCAAAAAAAATCAAAAAAAAATTTTTATTTTTCTAATACTCAAAAAAAAAAAAAAAAAACCGAAAAAAAAACCACCAAGACTTTTCGTCACCTAAGCTTTCAATAGGTTCTATGTACAATGTATATTCTCATTTCGATTTTCAAAAAAAAAAAAGTTTCGGGTGTAGAGAAGTCATAATGAACATTTTCTTTTTATTCCTTTTGTTTCTCAAAAGTACTTATAATTCCGTCATTAAAAAAAAAAAAAAAAAAACAAGCAACAAAAAAGGGTAACGATCTTTGACCCTTTCTCACCTACTAATCTACAAAAATGTTTTAGTAGGTGATAATCTCGGAATCCATAATCACACAGAGTTGTTCTTTGAAATTCTGTTCATTAAAAAAAAATTTTTTCATGTTCCTACACTTTTTTTTTTTTAAATGTAATATAGTGCACAAATGAATGAAAATTAATAAAGTTCTTAGCGTACTGTGTTTAAATTTTATTTCAATATTCTCCTTTTCAAAAAAAATTTATACGTTATTTATCAGTTATTTTAACAAATTTGGTAATTTTATTTAATATCGATATTAATCTCTTGATACGATACGATAATTGAATTATAATTTTGCTAAAAAAAAAAAAATAACAAAAATTTAAATATACATATATCAGTTTAATTCTCAAATAACGATAAAAAGCTTGTTCGTTTAACGTTAAGGCCATGCAAAATTAATTAAGGGGCAGTCCGCAGTTAAAGGGTATAAAATACAGTGGACATTTTACTATAACTTTCATATAATATAAGTAAAAAAAGAAAAAGAACTTAATACATATAGGTATTGTGATTTACACAACCGATTTTAATGGTTCACGTATTATCATTAAAATCGTAATAACACGTTCTACAACTTTAATTAAAGATTCAAAAAGATGTTTATTTAGTAAAAAAAAAAAAATTCATTGCATTCCGCTACTATAAAAAATTATAATAAGTTCCGACTATGATACTTAGTAATGATTATTCCCTTTAACTGCGAACTACCTCGTAATTGATTTTCATAACCCGGCCGGGTCAAAATTTGAAAACTTGTACGTAAAAAATTTTTTTTTATATATTTTAATAACTGGGTGGATGGGTTTATAAAAATTATATATAAAAGTTTTATATATGAAATTTTAAAAAAAGAAAAAAAGCCAACCAGCCGTTCGGTCCGCATGTTATGAAAATCAATATATTAAATTTGTGTGGCCTAACGCTAACATAATAAAATTTTTTTTTTTTTTACTGACTGGTTGGTTCATTCAATAATTCTACAACGCCACCGCGAATACTTTCGGGCTGTACAAAATAAATGTAATAATTTTTTTTTATTTAGTTTTTTATTAACAGTAATTTAATATAGTATTTCAAATAATGATAATGTTTTAATTAAGGAACTAACCGTGATATTAGGTTCATATCTATGAACAACTTTTCCTTGACGATTAATTAAAAATTTAGTGAAATTCCATTTAACATCTTTCTTATCAGGATCATTCATCGTCTCAGGTGCATTATTCTTGAGAAACTCATAAAGGGGTTCTGCTTTGTCTCCATTCACATCAATTTTGGAAAATAACGGGAAAGTAACCTGGTACTTATTAACTCTACAAAAATTTTCAATCTCTATAAAAATTCAAAAAAATTCGATAAATATATTTTTATGTTAAAAAAAAATTTCTTGTATAAATCATTCCGAATTCATTTTATAAGAATCATATAAATTTATTTACCTTCTTCAGTTCCTGGTTCTTGCTTTCCGAATTGGTTACAAGGAAATCCAATAATGACAAAGTCTTGATTTTTAAACTCTTGATAAAGTTGTTCCAATCCTGTATATTGTTTAGTAAATCCACATTTTGAAGCTACATTAACAATCAAAACAACTTTTCCTTTCAATTCCTTAAAGTCAAATGGTTTTTTTTTAATATCATTAATTTGAAAATCGTAAAATTCTGTCATCTTGAATGAACCGTAAAATCTTTTTAATTCTTGGATCTTAAAATTATTTTTATAAAAATTATATCGATAATTTGTTGTTACGATGAATTTACAAGATTTGTTATTAATTTTATTATTAAAGAATAAAAAATTTGTCAAATTTAATGAGCTTTTTATATTTAATTTTAAAATCTGATTATTATAAATTGTTCTTAAAGGTGATGAGAAAATTTTAGAAAATAGATGCATTTTTAAGATTAATAATCATAAAAAAGGATTGTTCTGATACGAAATATGTGAATCCATCCATTTACATGCATCTTATATTTTTCTATTCTGGTTAGGATAAACAATACCATCACTATGTCATTTTTGTATGTAATTACCCGTTCTTACCTTAATATTGTTTAATCTATAATCAAATACAATACGTATGTTTTACCTTAAAAATACTTGTTTTTTTTTTTAACCCGTTACACTGCTCTCACGTATTTAAGTCGTGCTTGAAGTTGTAACTTCAAGCGTCTGAAGTTGTAACTTCAAGCGTCTGAAATTGTAACTTCAAGCGTCTGAAGCTGAAAAATTAACCAACGCAAGGACGATCTAATTTCAGGAGGTAATTTTAGTTAAGTGTGCTTAAATTAGTAAATTCAAGTAAATGTCAACTACATTTACACCAATTGATTTATTTGTTCTAGTAATACAATCCCCCAAAAAGGAAATTTAATATCTAAAATACTGAAATGAGTTCGTTAAAGATAGTTAGGATGTTAAATTTAGTGACCATAGAAGTAAAATTCTCATTTACTAAATGATGTTCTCAAATAGGTTCCCAAATAGAAAAATGATGCTCCAAAAATGTTCAAACGGAGATTACTATCAGATAAATTTTAATTTTATATGATAGACTTACTGGTTTTGACTTTGCTAAAAGTAAAAATCCGTGTTATTTTTTAAATTTGTGCATCAAATAATATTCCCAATCGATTTTCTGTGCTAGGTTATATCGATCACGATCGAAAAATATTTTTTTCCATCTCTAATAAAAATAATTCTTCTCATAATTTTGGTAATAAGTTTTGCTCATCTTACCCTAACCCTAAACCAACATAATGCCAACCTCAAAATCAGCTTAATGCGGATCAATATAAGCTAATGATAAAAGCCTTCGCCCTGTTCAACTAAGATCCGGAACCAAGTTCTGTAATTATATGAAAGATTAGATGCCTTAGAATTTCTACTTTTAACTGGTTTTTAAAAGCAATAAAGTTTTTCCTGTTTGCTTTAGTAGATACTTTTTTGTAGGCTTAGTAATATTTTTTTGTTACAAAAAATAAGAAAATTTTTATTATAAGTAAATAGAATACTAGTAAGCATTGTTTTTTTATTATTGTCGCGGTTCTAAGAATATATGCCTTAAAAATCCCTATTCATAGGGTAACCGTAGGTCGTTCGCGTAACGTCGAACGTATTAGTACTCAAAAGAGGCGTTGGATTTGGCGAGTACTAAGGGTAAGTAACATTTTATTAATTTTAAATGCACTAAATACGTTACTTACGTGATATTCACTAAATACACTATTTATATTATATACACTAATTACGCTATGTACACTAATTGCACTACATTCACTATATTGACTAATTACACTACATTCGTTATATCTACTAATTATGCTACATTCGCTAAATCTACTAATTAATATATATATTATTGTTTAATTATGCGATCAATCTTTAATTATTATCGACGATCCTATTTTGTGACATTATATATATAGTATTTTTAGTTTATAAGCAAAACAATAAATTATTTTATTTTATTTTTTATTAATTGAAAATTTACTAGTTATCTAATACATAATTATAACAATATAATACGTACAAATTATTATATATACAGAAAATATTAAAAAATTTTAACAATTATTTAAATAACTTTTTTTTTACTAAAATAATAAATCTTATATATTAAATAAAAGTTATAAAAAAAAAATATATAATATTCTATATAAATTAAATTAAAAAAAATTAAATCAAATTTATATATATTTAGATTTTAAAAAATTTAAATCTAAAATTTAATTTTTTTTGGTATTAAGATGAGGCCTTGCCTATATCTTTATTAATAATTTAAAATAATTATATATATATGTTATAGTTAAAATTAACTTTTACAATCAATACTAACCATTAAACTGCTAACTATACAGTTATTACTATTTATATAATATAAATAAATTAAAATTTATATGCAAAAATAAAGGTTCAAACTAATTTATCTATAATCTAAACTTACTAAAGTAATTAAAACTTATTTAAATTCGAATGTTTAGTATATATTTTAACAATATATTATAAGGTTATACAGTTTTTCTGTTTTTGTAATTTAGTTCAAATATTTATATTTATTTATTTTACAACTTTTTTGATAAAACTGTTTAGTTTTTTTCTTTTATTTAAATTACTTATTTATAGCAATATTTTTTTAATTACTTATTTATAGTAATATTTCTTTAATTCTTATTTATAGTAATATTTTTTTAATTACATCAATTTTATTATTTTATACTTTAATAAACTTTTAATTAATTTTTTTTATTTTATATAATTACATTATTATAGTAATTATTAATTCTATATTACATAATTATAAATATATAACTCAATACTATCAACTTTTAATATAGCATTTTTCTATTAATATATTATATAATATATATATATTTTTTTTGGTATTAAGGTGAGGCCTTGCTTGTATCTTTATTGGTAGTTTAAAAATTAGTAGCTACATGGAGCTGCTA